TTGTAAGCTTAGAGTCTGAGTTGGCAAGGGACTCAGGTTCCTAGCCCTGAGCGAAGAATGCGGGTGCAGCTGAGAGGTCACAACACTCTCTCTCTCTCTTCAGAAGCAGAAGGAAGTGGGTGGGTGATTTTTTTAATAAAAAAATGGCCGTGGCATGTGCAAGAAAAAAACCACTCATTATTTTGTAATGGCTAGACAATCCTTTGTGGTAAGTCAAGTCGTGCACACCCAAAGAAAAACATTATCAGATGATTTGCTGGGATTGGAGTTACTGGTGATCAAACAACAAATATAAGACCTTATAAAGAATATAGCATGTATTGTTCCAGTTCATAATTTCTACCTCAATTTTAAACACATTTTAGGGCAAGTTACTCCCGTTGTTTCTGTTGTCTCTGTGGAAATTGCTAATTCTGACCAAATTTTGTTGCCTGTGCCAAAACAAGATCAACACTATATGAACCTGGATGGAGGATTAGGTCATTAATATCCCCAATAAATCCTAAACATTCACACAAATGAAAGAAAATCCCATAAAAATAAGAGAAGTCTCTCTCTCTCTCTCTCTCTCTCTCTCTCTCTCTCTCCCTCCCTCTCCCTCCCTCCCTCCCTCCCTCCCTCCCTCCACCCCCCCTCTCTTCCTCCTAAATCTAAATGCTGGTGTTGTGTAGTGGTTAAAGTGTAGGGCTCAGATCTCCGTCCAGCCATGAAAGCTCACTGGGTGATTTGGGGACAGTCACTGCCTCTCAGCCTAACTTACATCACAAGATGGTTGCGGAGAGAAACACTTACACCATTTTGAGCTCCATGGAAAAAAGGTGAGATAGAAAAGCAATAAAAAACAACAACAACAAACCAGGAAAATAAAGAAATGTGTTAAGAACTGTCAGTTGTGTTGCACACAGAAAAGACCTGAAGATGGAAGTAATTAAGCATTGATAGAATGCAACAACGCAAGCTTGTTTTCTCCTGCTCTGGAAAGTAGGACTCGAACCAATGGCTTCAAGTTACAAGAAAGGAGATTCTGATTAAACATTCAGAAAAACTTTCTGACAGCAAGAGCTGTGTGACAGTGGAACAGTCTCCCTTGTGGGGGTTGTAGACTCTCCTTCCTTGGAGGTTTTTAAGCAAAGGTTGAATGGCCATCTGTCATGGATGCTTTTAGCTGAGATTCCAACTATACAATTCTATGATTCTATGATCCTAACTATTCCTCACTAGGCAAGCACATGGACAAATGAACAAATTGAGTGACCACTAATACAGACCAGGATCCCAAGAGCCTCAATGGAAGGGAAGGTTTGCTTTTTGCTTATTTTTCTTCCCATCATATACTCTCACATGTGAGCATCTACCTAGAGTCAGGAGGATTGCTTACAGAACCAAACACACAAATGGTTGCTCTGTACAGGCAGAGTTCCAGGCAGGATTTGCGCATTCACCGTCACAATAGGAATGAGTGGACACAGTTGATTCTCAGAGTAAACAACATGGGGCAGTCTTCATTTCTGTGGAGCTCTGAGTGCACTTTTGCAGATCTAGGGAACTTTCGGGTTTTGCTTCAGTCTCGCCCAGCAATCTTTCTGAGCAAATTGTACAGGACATTCCTAAACCTATGTTCAGACACAAACCCTATTCAGGCATTTGACCTGATTATGCAAGAACAAAACTTACATAGTAGGGTTGCCATGTTTCAAAAAGTGAAAATCTGGACAGAAAAACAGTTGTACTTTTTTTGGCAAAGTTGTTGAGCTGTAGACGGAGTTTTAGACTTCCGACATCGGTTTGCCATATGCCCAGATTTCCCCAGACATTTAAGCAATTTCCACCTGGAGACTACTTCTGACTGCGGAACTCTGGCTATATCTGGGAAATTCTGGGTGTATGGCAACCCTATAATGTATAGTGCGTTAGGTATTCATGTACCAACTCTTCCCCTGCCTGCTTAGTGCAAATGTCTGAAGGGGCTTCTGGCTGCATTCAGTGGAATACAAACTAATGTGTAATCAGGAGCCCAGGGTGCTATCAGGAGTCTCAACTGCATCCAGCTAAACATAATTGGAAGCCAACCTTCATACCATTGTGATACTTATTTGGAAGCCAGTGGGATTAGGGGTCTTGCGGGGACATTGGGGTTGGGATGCGTTGTTCTCTGTTCAGTTCAATAAATTTTATTGTTTATAGCCAATGGCCTTCACAATACAGTATGAGCACAAATCACACAGCTGCAAAACAAAGGACATCGCATGCACCAAACCAGGACAAATCTACAATGCACAAAATTTAGGAACGTTCCTACTAGTCGGCATCCCTAGGGTTTGGCATTTGCACTAGCCAGAAAGGTTGCCCTTCTCTTTCTTGCTGCTAATGCAAATAGTGACACCCTATAGCAGATGCACACTGTCCTCTAAACATGTTTGGCCCTTCTGTGGTTAGGCTGAATGCCTAAATATGGTCGATGAAGGGAAGACGTATGGCAGTTTGAGGGTTGTTGGGGGTTTTTTAGAAATCGAAAACCATCCTTTGCACACGGGTGCAGCATCAACATTTCTGTCCACTTTGGCCTGCAAAGAAGTGATGTGCTCAGCACCATGGGCAACTTTGATTCCCCAAACTGGCAGATTGAGTATCTTTTGACAGCTGTTGGAGCTGAATAGTACGGAGGGGAATGAAAATCAAACCCACGATGTCGGCTGGAATATACAGGAACTGGGCAGACTTCTCTCAGTCCAGGACTATTGGGTTTCCCACTTATTAAGGCACCTTCACTGCTTTTGGCCTCTGCTCCTGTCTTTAAATTGCAGTGTTTATATGAGCCTGAGAATTGGTGAGAAATTATGGGAAGCATCAAGCAAAGAGGCTCTCTGTAAAAGATCTGGAAGTCACAAATGGCAGCCTAACTGAGGGCAGCTCTTCTGCAAGAAATGGCACCATTAGAGCGTGATTTAAAACACACCATAAAATATTAACATATTCTGTATCAGACTTATAGCTAATTTCCCCATACTAGGAATGCATCCCGTTGGATGTGTAGAGTTCTAAAATATTGCTTTATTAGATTCCCCCCTCCCAGTCTTATTAGTGTGTTTGCATGCAAATTGCTATTGCAGTTAATGCCTCCTAATAAGACAGAGGAAATGATTACATTATTAATTTTTAATCATACATGCAATTTACAAAACTTAATCTATGTCCCCATTTAAAAGTCTGTAATAAGAGATGGTTTATTTTTGATTTTGCACCACTATTGCGTTGCTGTCACCATGTTTCCTTTTCATTGCAGCTAATATATCTCACTTACTTTATCCCAGTATTTAGCTTGGTGATGTAGTGGAGACGGTCTTCGTATCCGCTGCAGGCTTGTTTGCCTTTGTGATCTGCCAAGCCCAGTGTGGTAGAGCAGACATCTATGGCAGCCCACCAGAGATTTGGTAAGTCTCATTGTTTGGCCAGAATAGGGACTTGGCAAGTCACAAAGCATGGCTGACAGGCTTTGTTCACATCAACTGTGTACAGGAGTCCTCTATCATCTATCAGCACTGACCTTATAAGGATATTTGTGGTAAATAAAGGCAAAAAAGGTGTCATATAATGAACACTGTGCCCTCCAGATGTTGACTTCAACTCCCATCAGCCCCTGCTAGCATGGCCCATAGTTAGAGAAGATGGGAGTTGTAGTCCAACAACCACAATATGGAGGGCACCACATCAACTCACCCTGTTATACATTGTCAGTTTGATGCCATAATTTCGTTCAGGCCTGAGAAATTACCATGGAAATCTAGGTCATCCTTGTATTTCCCCATTCAATACAAGAAACGGATCCATGTTACAAAAGGAATGCATGAAGCTGCCCAGCTACTGAACTGAACAGAGAATTGCATTGCTTGAGGAGGTGTTAAGTTCTAGAAAAACAGAATGGCACAAAGTGGTATGTGAGATCTAACTTCTGACAGAGAGGCAGTGCTTTTCTTTTCTAAAAAGGGGTACTCTCATTCCGCCTGAGACTCAGGAAACACCGTGACAGGAAATGAGGCCGCCATTGGTGGTAACAATGAAACTGACAATTCACCATGCTACAGAAGACAAAAATTTTAACAAAATAAAAAATTCCTTCCAGTAGCACCTTAGAGACTAACTAAGTTTATTATTGGTATGAGCTTTCGTGTGCATGCACACTTCTTCAGATACCAGATTTTTTTTATTATTATTTTTTAGTATCTTCTCCCATTAGATTAACAAAATGTTTAGGGGTATGCGTACCCCTGAGATCCCCCCCCCAAAAAAAAACCCACTGAGGATAGGCTAGAGCTGCTTGCAAGTGGGCTTCTTTTCACTATCACTCCCAAACAAGCATTCTGCGGACAGATCCTTTCGCCATTTCTGTCTAGTCTACTGAGATATCAAAACGCATCTAGGCCATGAGAATGTGATGGAGTTTTAAAGCTTAGGGAAGTTGGATAGGGAAGCTGAAAAGGGGGAAAATATATTTGTAGGCACCCCAGCCCAGTCCGATTAAGGAGACCCACGTAGCCATGCATAGAAGAAGGCTTCTCTATGTGCATCACTTGAAGGATCAGGGATGTTGGGTGGGAGGCAATGTAGGGCTGTGCGCAGAGTAGTGGCAGAGGTGGCATTTTTATGCTAGTGTTGCACATCACTTCTACCCTGCCAAAGCTGTCCATTGGCTTTGATTGTTACACTACACACAGACAGATAGACTCACTGACTGACTACTGAGTCGATGTGTCTTAATCACTGCTATAGATGGCACTGGGTTGTTGCCGTAGCAACTGGCTTGACTGACCCTGCACCTGTTGGCTTATCTTGTAAATGGAAGAAATTAACCCCTTCCTCCATGTCCAGTTTCTCCCACATAGATTACCACTAGAAGCACAGGGACCTTTGTCAGAGCCTTGGTCCAGCTAGGTCAGTATTGCCTACATTTCCTGGCAGTGGCTCTCCAAGGTTTTAGGAAAAGAGTGAGTCCCAGCTGTAACTGAAGATGCCAGGAATCGAACCTGGGTCCTTCTGCATACAAGGCAAATACTCTACCACTGAGCTACAGGCCACTCAAAGCTCTCATGTCATAGAAGCCCTAACGACACTCTTCTGCACGGACTAGAGCTGGTTGAAGACAAGCATCATTGACATCTCTCTGTTCAAAAGAGTATATTTTGAATTGCCAAATCACTGTAACAATTTCAAAATATAATGGAAACAATATGGTGTGACTCTTGATGTTCACTTTGACAGCTGGTGTGTTATTAATTAAAAGTTTGAGTAATAGAATATCTTAACTATGAGGTCTTCTCAATGCATTTAAAATATAGGCATACTGCAGCAAATGACTAGATTGCCCTAAATGGAAAGTACATATCACATTATTTTTAACTTCTTTAACACAAGCACTTGCTTCATGCTTTTGAATGCTCAGCGAGCTTCATGGGCACAGTCCCAGTAAACATTTCAACATCTCTGCATGATAGGTCAGTAATATTATGCTCCCATTGTTCTTAGGACTGGGCTCAGTGGCCTAATTCTGTCTCATATCAGGCTTGCAGGTGCTCGTTAAGTCCTGTTTTATGATAGGCCCATAAAGTCCTGTTTCATGCAGACTTTTGGAAATACTGTGCAAAAAGTCCACATGTAAATTGTCCTCATGTTGTATGCACTTTTTATACAAAATATGTATTTTTAAATTTAAAATGCTTCTCAGCTTATTCAGCCGTAATACATGCGCTTTGTATGTATCTTCTACGTAAAATACATACTTTTGTAGGAACTCTTCTTGCATATCCCAACTGCATCGCAATAAGTCAACTAGGAGTTGCATTGCGATCCACAGAGGCAACTTTGGGAGCAATGAACAGGGTCAATCCACTGAGAAAAGTGGACTGGCTGAATTCTTCTCCTATTGTGAATTGCAGTTAGGGAGCTGAGATACATAGGCAGTTCCAGATAAGGAGCAAAGAGGAAATGAAAAGCAATTCTCTGTTCCAGTGAGGAAAGGTTACAACACTACAAGCTCTTTTAGTTTAGGGACAAGAGCCACTGTGGTTGGCCACTGTGAGAACCAGAATCTGGACCAGGATGGGTCATTGGCCTGTTCTAGCAGGCTATTCTTATGTTCCTATATAAAATTATGAGTGCTATGGAGAGAGGAGATAGAGAAAAGTTTTCCTCCCTCTCTCATAACTCTACAACTTACGGGCATCCAATGAAGCTAAATGCTGGCAGATTGAGTACAGATGCAAGAAAGGACTTGTTCATGCAGTGCAGAGCCAAAGTATAGAATTTGCTCCCCCAAGACGTAATGATGGTCACCAATTCTGATGGCTTTAAAAAGGGACAAGACAAATTCATGGAGGAGGAAGGCTACTTGCCACAAGGGCTATGTTCTGCTTTCACTGTCAGAGGCACTATGCATCTGAAAACCAGTTGCTGCCTGGATAGTTTAGCTGGTTAGAGTGTGGAGCTGATAATGCCAAGGTTGCAGGTTCGACAGCTGCATATTCCTGCATTGCAAGGGGTGGGACAAGATGATCCTTAGGGTCCCTTCCAACTCTATGATTCTATGAATAGCAGGTGAGCGGAATGCTGTCACGTCCCATAGGCATCTGGTTGGCAACTGTGGAAACCGGGTTGGGGATTAGATGGGCCATTGGCCTGACTCATCAGCAGACTCATCATAGCAAATCTACTTGGTAACAGATGCCTAGTTATAGTCGGTGCTTTTTTCCTGGGTACGCAGGGGTACACGTACCCATAAACATTTTGTGTTGCCCTGACTGACTGATGGATGGACTGACATGCCAGCTGTCTCTGCAGTACGAAGTGGACTGGAGCTCCGTCATTCTCCCTGCTGGTGCCTGGGGAGGGGAGTCGGGGGGCATGGTGGAGGCGATGGCACTGCTGCTCCTCCGCTTGCTGGGCAAGTGCTGGCCCCTCCTCGCTCAAGGCAACCCCACCATCACCATCGCCAGGAGCCTTCCCATAATCTCAGCGCTGCCTTGAGTTCCTCGTCCGAGGATGGGGTGGGAGGAGGAAGGGGAAGAGGACAAGGGGGAGCAGCCATAATTAGAGTACCCCTAAACATTTTTTTAAAGAAAAAATTCACTGGTTATAGCTACTTGGAATATAGAAAGTCATCATTCCTAAATGTCTCTGGATTGTGAACTTCTGGGTTGGCGCCACCGGCAATGGCGGAATTCCTCTGACCGGGAGGAATTTGCCTCGTGGAAATTCGGGTCTGGCCGCCATGGCGAAGGCGGAGACCCACTAAAAATCACAGGCGGTTGAAGCCTGTGAATGTGGGATCTGGCGGGCACCTTTTGCGCCTCCCCTACTCGCGGGGAAACCCGATTTCGGGGATCCGGAGCGATGTGGGGTGAGCGGCGCGGTGCTTCGGATCGACTGCTTCTTCCACGAAGCAAAGCCGCATAGCTGTTGCCAGAGAGCGCTGACTTTTTCCTGTGGACAATTTGATCTTAAAGCAACTACCCATGAGTAGAGTGAAGAATTGGATTTTTAAACATTATAATTTGGCACCAAAACGGGGGAGGTTCAAAACAGGAAGTCCACCTCCCCTTTTTGTAATTAAGACTGAGGCAAAGAGGCTGCAAGCTAAAGTCTTGGAAAGCCCATTGTAAAGGACTAAATTCTCATCAGCAAAAAATATTAAACCCCCCTTGGAAGCAGGAGAAGAGGGGGGAGGTTTTGGATTGTATATTCCTGCAGGAGTGAGTGAGGAAGTTAAAATACCACCGTTCCGAACCTGGAAACGGGCTGCCAGTAAAACCGACGTGCCTTTGAAGGTTCATTGACAGCGAATAGAACGTTCGGTGACAGCTAGCATAAGAGAGATACATTGTTTCCATTGTCTTCGTCTGCACTTAAAAAGGAGTAAAGTAACGAAAAATTGAAACAATCTTACTGAACTTTATTAAAAAAGGAGGAAAGTAACTGAAAATTGAAACTAATTTTGGATTATTGAAACTGTGCTCAAAAGAGGACATACTGACCGATACAAATACAACTCGCTTTCCCCTAGTGGAAGCTTTTGAAATTCACTTGATAGGAGCTGGGCTAGGGGATTTTCCAGCTGCATGATAAGAAAGTGTGAGACTTTGGAATTGACCTTGAATCTTTTAAGTGTTATGGCAAACGGAAAGGAAAAAACAGACGGGACGTCAACAGAGGAGGCCTTAGTGGCTGCATTATTGAAAATAAACGATTGGCTGGAACAACTCCACAAGAAAATAGATGCGAGAAATGTGAAATTGGATGTTGCAAGTATTGAAATTGATTCAACTGTAGAAAGCTTAAACAACTTGGGACAAAAGGTGAAGGGGAAAGTCATCATTCCTAAATGTCTCTGGATTGTGGCCTGGCAGATCTCTAGATTAAAGCAAATGCCAGCAACTTTATTATGAAGGTTAGCTATTATGATGCAAATCAACTGAAATGAATTTCCAAAATAGTTGAACTTGCAGAGTTACTCTGCAAGTAGGGTAGATTAATGACTATGTTAATGAACAAATTAATTGCTGATTCAGACAAAAAGCAAAGGTTAAGTTGATTTTAAAGTCCTTTGGATTATTATTATTATTATTATTATTATTATTATTCCATGTCAAGGATAATTTGGGCCATGCATTGACTGGACCAGGTAGTCATTTAATTCTTATAGTTTTGAATCCCAGCATTTTCCAGTGCAGAAACTCTGAATAATGAACCAAAGTGCATTTAAAAAAATTCACTGTTATTAGGCTCCATGACTAGCTATATGGCTAATTTGACTGGTCCCTGGATTAACAGCTCACAAGGGAAAAGAGTTAAGTAACATGAAAGCGGAGCCAAGAAAGTTGCAGAAAAATAATTTAATGAAGAGCCAGCGCGCTTGAAGATGTCACAAGGATAAAAGTCACTTAATGAAGGGATAATCTCTCCCGCTTTGTAGTATATGAAGCAGTAAACTTCTCTCGATGCTGAAAAATCAACAAATCAAGATGGTGTCTTTCAAGAATTCGCCCACTCCCCAAAAACCCTAAAATGCAACTAGGAGAACGGAGAAGAAATCTAATTAGGAATACAGCAATATATATTTAGACCCTACAGAAATACAAGAAACTGTATTTCTGTACAGGAAACAGTCAGATCACTGGCCCATTAAGTTCAGTATTTCCTACACTGACTGGCATCAGTTTTTTGGCATTTCAAACAAGGCTGACTTCCAGCCTTGCCAGGAGATGCCGGGAACTGAACCTGGGACCTTCTGTATGCAAAACAGGTGCTCTACCACTGAGCTAAGGCCCTTCCCTAACAGTCACTCTGATCCAGCAAAAGGCCCTACACGTGAGGAGGCAGACCTCTGCACAAAAAGTCCTGGGCAGATGTTGAATCACGCTAGCTAGGGATAGTGAGAATTGTAATTCAACAACAGCTGAGGACCCAAGTTTGAGAAACACTACCTCAAGGCCTTGAATTGAGCCTGGAAGCCTATTGGCAGCCAGCGCCAATCACGTAGACCCAACATGATGAAATGATGGTAACTGTAGTATTATCTATAGCATCTGGAATACCCTTACATCAGAAATTATACCAGAATCTGTTGGGTTTGGTGTTTCCTTTAGATCAGAGACAGCCAATGTTGTCCCCTCCAGAAGTTGTGGGACTGGGCATTATGTTATTTTAATAAAGCTATTGTTGCCATTGTTTGTTGGGCATTCTCCTGAACGGCAAAAAATCCCATTCTTGTAAAGGGATAATTTTCCTAATGAATGTAGGACAATAAAAAGTCGAAGACTTCATTATATATTTTTAGGCGATAGGCCAAAACGTTCCTCTTCAACCAGGCCTTTGGCCGATTAATATTCCACAGCCTTAAATATATCTGTGGGAAAGGGATGTGTGTGTTATTGTTCTGCTGTTTTGATTTAAGTTCTTACTTGTGTTTTTATCTTGCATTTTACACTGCAACCCCCCCTGAGATCTTATGATGAACATAAATTTAATAAATAATACTGCTGTTAATAAGACCAGAATCTTTGCTAATAATGAGCTGGGAGAGGAGGTCCACTTTCCTCTTTCTCTCGCCCAATATATATTTACCTTAAACCTAGCCTCAAGGTAGAAAGCGAATTCTCTCAGAAAGAGTGAAGAAGTTACACCGTCTCCCGGTACGGCTTTAATGTTCGGCATCCTTTAAGTGGGCGCCACGCCATGTGCCAAATTATGTGTGTTTAGTTGATGGTGTGAATAAAGGCGATGTGACTTGGAGCTGCGATCAGCAAATTCGTTTAAGCAGCGCTCGGACTAATACTAAACTCCGCTGTTAATAGGGGGGGAAATGCACTCCTAGAGACTCATTCAGCTGAATAAACCAGTAATGCAGAGTAAACGGCATTTGGGCTATCGAACTTTTACATGGGAACATGGGTATAGAAGAGGAGTTTAATTAAAAACAAATAATTCCCTTGCTGTTGGTCTGTGTGCCACTACATGCCTATGGCTTGCTGTTGTTGTTTGGAGGTGGGGCATTAAAACTAGGACAGGGATGAGAGAATTTTCCCCATTTCATGCCTTTGCTGCCTTCCTCTGCCTTTTGCTCCTCCTTTTGCAAATTTTACAAAGGAAATAAAGTAAAATGACAGGTTTTGCAGCATTATAAAGGGAAAGAAACCACATATGAATAACAATAACAGCACAATAAAAACCACCATCAGCTCACATTTAGGATACAGTAACCATCAATACAAGGGACGTGGGTGGCGCTGTGGTCTAAACCACAGAGCCTAGGGCTTGCCGATCGGAAGGTCGGCAGTTCGAATCCCCGCAACAGGGTGAGCTCCCATTGTTCGGTCCCTGCTCCTGCCCACCTAGCAGTTCGAAAGTACATGTACATCAAGTGCAAGTAGATAAATAGGTACCAAGGAAGGTAAACGGCGTTTCCTTGCAAGGCCAAAAGCAGCTTATAGTCATGCTGGCCACATGACCTGGAAAAACTGTCTGAAGACAAACACCGGCTCCCTCGGCCTATAGAATGAGATGAGTGCACCACTCCAGAGTCGTCCGAGACTGGACCTAACGGTCAGGGGTACCTTTACCTTTTTAACCATCAATACAGGCATCTTAAGTTAAGCATATAAATTAATACAAGCCCTCCAGTTGTCCAAATCGGAATCCATGCAAAATTGATGGCTATATGAAATACATTCAAATGCAGCCAGGGCAGTGAGGTCCTCATGCCATTGTGTGATAGACAGCCGGTATTTATCCTTCCAGGCTTGAAGTATTTGTCCTTCCAGGCTTTCTTAGGGCTCACAAAATCCACTTTTGCTGTCCTGCTGTGAATCCCCACACTACAGAAATATAATTTAAAAGTACATGAGTATCTGCAACTATCAAGCATTTCACCAATACAGAAGTGATATGGACAACAACTTCTGCCCCACAAAAAGTGAGGTCTGAACCATTCTGACTTATTTTTGTTAATGCCTGTCTGTCCTTAACAAAAAGGGGAATACAATACAAAATGGATCATTATTTAAACAAAACAAAAAAAAAACAAGCTGGAATCTTTGAGAGTCTTGGCCAAAACGGTCAATAACTTCTTTTATACATTTCTCCTTCAACTTTTCTCTATGGACACTCAACAAACACAAGCCAGACAATCAATTTTTCACTCATTGTAGCCATGTCTTCACCCTATGCAAAGTGCTGAAGGATCGCTCAATTGTAACTGGGAGGGAAAGTGCTGTAAGGATGGCCATTATGATAGCAGGCAAGAGTTTTTATGTGCGTTTTATGTGTATTGCTGTGGATTTCTTTTTTTATGCCATTTGACCACAGCTCACACCAAGGCAAGTAACAAAGTGTCTTTCTTCACTGTGGCAAATCTGGCGTGGGTGTAGTTTCAACAAATTGGAGGCAGGTTGATTTCATCACTGAAATGAGTCCTCAGCGAGGCGATAAGTAGGGATCTTCTGTGGATTTGTTGGGATAATTGACATGGTTTTCCTGTTGTATGACTTGTCTGTGTGCTCTAACTTCTCCATCTACATCATCTGCCAGTTTCTGGCACCTTTCTATTGTTTTGCTAAAGGTTTCCTCACCAGCTTCCTTGTTTCATTCTATTGTTCCAAGAAACTTCACAGACTACAAGACTTGAGTGACTGGCATGTGATCACCAGATAATCAAAGTTAATGCAAAACTGGCCATCTTGTCTTGTCTTGGCTTGATCCTGCTAATTGCTTGAGTTGTGAGACAATACTTGTGTAATTTTCTGTATCTTTGAGTCAGTCAGTCATGTAGCTCAGTTGGTAGAGAATTAAACTCTTAACCTCAAGGTCTTGGGTTTGAGTCCCATGAGTCCCATGTTGGGCAAATGATACCTGCACTGTAGAGGCTTGGACTAGATGACCCTCGTAGTCCCTTCCAACTCTACAATTCTATGATATTCAACAACAACAATCTTTATTATGGTCCAGAGACCCAACAAATCGTTACAAAGCAATACACAATTCATACAGCCTACCTCCAGGTTATACAAGCATTTTATGATATTCTATGATAACTTACTTAGGATTCATCCACACTTCCCTTTGCTCTGCATTTCTAGGTAAAGGTCCAGGCTTTCCCAATAAAAAGTCATTTTTTACCACTGAATTGGACCAAATGGCAATTTGAAGAAAACCACATTTTGCTCAAATTCAGTGGTAAAGATCAGGTTTTCCTGGGGAAAGTGGCAAGGGACTCAGCTACATTAGCAAAGAAAAAGTGCCTTATATGTGTTGTGTATACATTCTAACACTGTGACATCAGATGGCAATGTGGAGTTCCGTTTTTGCCAACCCGATTTCTCATACAAAGTTTACAACGCATTTAACTGAAACGCTTCTTTGATGTGTCTAGATCCAGTCAAGATATGTATGTATATACAAAAGCACTCGGACACAGACCAGAAAAGCATGAACCTATGCCAAGAAAGGTAAGTTTGAATGAACCCTTATTGCGATCAAGTACAGTGGTACCTCGGGTTAAGTACTTAATTCATTCTGGAGGTCCGTTCTTAACCTGAAACTGTTCTTAACCTGAAGCACCACTTTAGCTAATGGGGCCTCCTGCTGCCGCCGCGCCGCCGGAGCCCAATTTCTCTTCTTATCCTGAAGCAAAGTTCATAACCTGAAGCACTATTTCTGGGTTAGCAGAGTGTGTAACCTGAAGCGTATGTAACCCGAGGTACCACTGTACAAAATAAAAGTAAATAATGTTGACTATATCTTCTACAAGATTGATATGAATGCAAAGAATTCCTCATGTACAAATGCATTGCCATCACTTTCTCCCACAAAGCTTACACCTAGAGGTAATTGTTCTGTGCCAAAAATATCTGCTGTTTTATCTGCTAAAACTGAGAATCTCATGGAAGCTTTATCCTATAGAACAATATCTTCCCTCAAAATCTGGGCACACAGCTTAATTCATTCTGCATTCTTGTAGGTTTGTACTTAGCATTGTCTTTTCTAGTTTCCATTGGGGGGCGGGATCATTTGCCTCAACGGAAAACTGTAAAAGGTCCATCCTGTTACCCGTGGTAGCAGTCTTCACACATGACCCGCAATACACCATGGTTGGCCACATACCCGAGATGGGCAGGGCCAGAGACAAAAGTGGGTGCAATAATACACCCTTGTATCCACCATCAGGACAAGCAGAAAGCATTATAAGAATTCCAGTCGGCAACAACACTCAGGGTGTGAAGCAGGGCCAGTGAGGGGGGTGGCCTGGGGAGAGCTCTGAGGGCCAGATGGAGAGGTTTGGGGGCCGCATCCGGCTCTCAAGCCCAAGATTCCAACTCTCGGGTTAAAATAATCACATTCTGAGCATGCGCCCAAAATGGCTGCCAACAGCACAGGGACAAAGCAGGGCATTGCCTCATTATTTATCCCGAACGGCTCTCCACTTGTAATAAAAAAAGAGCCTTTCAAAAAGGGAAAATTCATAAGCATTGCTGCTTATGTCTAGGCTCAGCTTCATTTCCAGATCTGGGGAGTTGTCCCATTCACCCTACTTGCCATGCTTCAGGCGTTTCGTATTGTGCCTCTGTGTGCGTTTTAAGCTATGCTGTCAATGCCTACCGCCATCAGCTGAAAAGGAGAAGTTAATTATAGATGGCTTCTGAAAAGAAAATGTAATTTTTATTGGGAAATGTAAAGATAAATAAATACAGCTGGAGGAGAAATGCCATTAGAACTGCTGCGAAGAGCCCCATGATGTTCCACTTAGAGTAAACATTCCTCTTTTTTCTGTCTTTTAAGCACTCCAGCCTGCTGCATTCAAGTCAGCCCTTCTTTCATGTGGGACAAGAAAAGTTGGAAAGGGAATTTAGTTAAAACTCTTGAGTTGAAATAGAAGCTTACAGGAGATTAGAGGCGGTGGAGCTCCAGAAAGCCAGTGCTGTTTCTGTAATGCAGAGTTCCTGACTTGCGATTTCCATATCTCTTTTATGTAGCCATTTAATTGGCACTCTTTAAATGATGCAAAAGTGTGTCCCCCCCCCCTCTTAGTAGACACTCAGTATGTCAAATATTTTTGCAATATCGGGCCTCCGAATGGAAACGGCTCTTCTTTTTAGAGAGAGAGACTAGATTCCAGGAAGAAGAAGCCTGGAGTTACCTCATCTAACGAAGGCAATTTTAACAGAAGGTTCCTAGGCTTTAAGCTTGAAGGGAGAGGGAGGGCTGGGTGGGATATATGTATGAATGTGTGTTTTAAAGAACGCATGATTTTTAGATATTACTTTAATTGGCTTTAAGCTTAGGTGCAGAGGCCACTTCACATGGTTATTTGTGGGTGGTGAAATTCACTTGAGAATATAAAAAAATGAATTCACTCCCCCCCACCTCCCAATATTTGGTGCAACGTTTGTGCAGTAGCTGCTGTACCATAGACCTTAATGGTCAATTGCAAAACATGAGGCCATGACTCATATTTTGCACGCAGGAGGTCCTAGATTTGATCCAATTAAAAAGGCAGCTCAAGTTATAGAGCTGATAGCCCCAGACTTCCTCCAGTGCTCTAAAATTCCACATAGTAGCATTTGATCCAGCATACCTGCATTGACAGGTACCCCATCCAAGCAACCAGGGCTTTTTTATCCAGCCGGAACTCACCAGAACTCAGTTCTGGCATCTCTGAGGTGGGTGCCATTGCCATTATAAGAGAACAAGAGAGGATTCATGGTGAGTTCTGGCACCTCTTTTTCTAGAAAAACAGCACTGCAAGCAGAGAAAAGTCCAACACACATATGTGCACCACTGGTCAGGAATGGCAGAAGATGGAATGTGCGGAAACACTCAGAGCCCCTTTCTTGCAAAAGCTTCTTTAAGGCTTCCAAAGGCAGAGGTTGGGGTGGCTTACAGCACAGGATGAGAGACAGTTTTTGCAAAATGAAACTGAAATGCAAAAGCTCTCTTTTAGCACATCTTGACAGGGTGCACCTACACGACATTTAATTTAACAAATAATCAGTGTATCATTCACCATGTTAGGGCTTACTGTGATATAATAATAAAAAAACCCCATCCCTGATAATTACAATACTATAAAACAATGTTTAAATAGACAGAAAATCTGCGTGTGGCAAAAACTGCAAACCGTTCCCAAGAAAATATATGTGTAAACAAGTGTTATTTCTGAAATCTTCAAAACTACCTGCAATAAAAATTGCAAGATACAAACAAACAGCTGAACACAGTGGGGTGTCAAATCTCCAGTCTTTGTCTTGAGGTCCAAAACCTGCTCCTGGCAGAGCAGGCGCCATCCTGAAACTCAGGTGGTGGGGTGGAGGTTGAAGCTGTCTGAAGTAGTAAAGAACAGTATGGTGGGTGGGGGAATAGAAAGCCCAGCAAGAGGGAAAGGAAAAAGATGTGCTGCATATTTAAAGCAGTATCATACCACATGGCTTCTCCCAAAGAATCTTGGGAGCTGTAGTTTGCTGAGAATGCCAAGAGTTCTTAGGAGACCTTCTTTTCTCTCACAGAACTACAGTTCCCAGAGTTCCATGGGAAGAGGGATTGATTGTGAAACCCCTCCTGTCTGTGCATACCTTTCAAACATTACAGAAATCCTCCCATTTTTCACTGCAGTTCCCAGTGGCATGTAGGAACATCGGACGTAGGGCTGTGCACTGGATTTGGCTGACACCCGAACCCAATTGGCTGCTTTGGCTCCTTTGCCCAAGTCGGGTGGAGACTGTCCCAGGTTGCCACAGGTTGAGTCGGGAAACCCAAAATGATCTGTGGTTGTCAGGGAGTGGTTGTCAGGCAGGCAGGAGAAGCTGGTGCTGGGCAGGAAGAAGTAGAGGTCAGACAGGAAGAAGGGAGAAAAAGCAAAAAGGTATTGGAGGAGAAGAGATGCGTCTCCTGGCTGAATTGCTTCCAGGAGGAGGTAGTGGTGGACTGCATGATTTTGGACATCGGGAGCTTCTCATTCCTGCTTCTCAATCCTGCCTAACATCCCACCCCTGGTGCTACACCCCAGAATACTGAATGCGATCTGCAGGCTGCTCATTTGCAAGCTCATTCCCCTACAGAGATGTTGTATGTGAAGGAGTGAACCACCCTGGCTCAGGAAGGGAGGGAAGGAGACAAATATATCCATGGCAGAAAGTGAGGAGGAATTAAAGAACCTCTTAATGGGGGTGAAAGCACAAAATATGGTCTGAAGCTCAACATCAAAAAAACTAAGATCATGGCCACTGGTCCCATCACCTCCTGGCAAATAGAAAGGGAAGAAATGGAGGCAGTGAGAGATTTTACTTTCTTGGGCTATATGATCACTGCAGATGGTGACAGCAGTCATGGAATTAAAAGACACCTGCTTCTTGGGAGAAAAAGCAATGACAAACCTACGCAGGATCTAAAAAGCAGAGACAACACCTTGCCGACAAAGGTCCGTCTAGTTAAAGCTATGGTTTTCCCAGTAGTGATGTATGGAAGGGAGAGCTGGACCATAAAGAAGGCTGATTGCCGAATAATTGATGCTTTTGAATTCTGGTGCTGGAGGAGACTCTTGAGAGTCCCATGGACTGCAAGAAGATCAAACCTATCCATTCTGAAGGAAATCAGCCCTGAGTGCTCACTGGAAGGACAGATCCTGAAGCTGAGGCTCCAATACTTTGGCTACCTCATGAGAAGAGAAGACTCCCTGGAAAAGACCCTGATGTTGGGAAAGATTGAGGACACAAGCAGAAGAGGATGACAGAGGGCAAGATGGTTGGACAGTGTTCTTGAAGCTACCAGCACGAGTTTGACCAAACTGCAGGAGGCAGTGGAAGACAGGAGTGCCTGGCGTGCTCTGGTCCATGGGGTCACGAAGAG